GTGAGTCGGATGCGTGTTGAAGTCTCTGACTGCCCGTATACATTAGGATGCCAATTAAATTGTCTGAGATGGAAACCAGCAGCCTTGGCTCCCTGAGGACAGCAGGGGGGGGTCCGCTGGGAGCAGGTTCAGTTTAGTGCCGCTGCCCCAGGTGCTTCTCTGCTTTGAGCCCTGGGGGCTTGCTGGCAGGCTGGGAGGAGGCCTGTGCCCCCCAGGCTGCCCTCAGCCACCCCGCTTCGCTTGGCCAAAGTTAGGTGAGTGGTGAAAACCCACCTGCAGTACCTGGGAACTGAGGCCACACAGCTCCGGGCTGCTGTTCCGGCATCCCTCCCTGCCGTCCGGGCTCAGCCTGGCCTCCGCGGCTCGCAGCGTGCCCAGGGGCGTACGCAGAGGTGCTGGGGGCTGAGGCTCATCCCCACCCGCTCGGCTCTGCCCGGGGGGACGTCAGTGCTGCCTCAGATCTGCGGCTTGTGCCGTGCTTTATAACCTATTTCTGTCAGCAGGAGAGAAGCAAGCGCAGTGCAGCTGCCGCTTTTGAAGTGAGCCTGGCGTGCTGTGGCTGTTGGGGATTAGGGAGAGCTCACGGGCAGCTTTGCCGGTGGATGCGGGGGCTTGGTGGGGGATAAGCTTCCTCTGGCGCGGCGCACGTGTACCCGCACCCAGGGAGACCCCTGCCTGTCGCCCTGCAGCGATGGACGCTTGTAGCCCTCCCTCTGGTCTGTACCCGGCGGTGCAGAGGCTGTTTTTTGGGGTGGTCTTGCTAGCATTTATCAGAAAGATGGTGCCTTTCTGCCTTCGCCTGGCACATCCCCCATCAGAGACCACCCCGGCCCTGCTGAATTAACCCTGCTGTGTCTCTTCTCTCCTGCAGGCATGGGACATGGGGAAGGGGTTCAAGATCCCCCAGGTCAACCAGTCTGGGGTGCTGGTCCTGATCTTGACCCTGCTCTCCTCCGCGGGCCTCGCGGCGATGTGAAGGTACCTCCTGATTGATGGCCTCCCTTTTTTTGGAAGATTTGCTCCGTCCTGGCCCACCTCAAGATGCGCGTGGAGAGGGAGGTGGGAGGACAGGCTCCCGAGTAACTACAAATCTTTGGGGAGGGTGGCACTTCCCCCCCCTTGCAAATCTTGTGGATGATCAGAGTTGCTTTTCCTTAGCCCGGCTGATGTGCTAGCCCTCTCTTAGCGCTGGGGGGACAGGCCAGGCTCTCTACTGCTGTGCCACATGCCCGAGCAGCCGCGGAAAGCTGGGCACAAGTTAACAGCCGATCCTGGCACGTTCAGTCGCTCACAGAGAGCTGCCTAGCTTCTTCCAGGCAAACTCCAGGGTGTTTCTTTCCTCTGCTCTGTCCCCAGGCTTGAGACAATGCTGAATCTGTGTCCCCGCAGGTCCGAGTGGGCTCGGGGACAGCTGGTAGTGCGTGTGTAGGCCCAGCGCAGGACAAGCGTCTCCATTGAGACAGCCCATGCCAGGGCAGGGAGAGCAGGCGGAGCTGCCAACGCTGGCACCCGTGAGGGGAATGGGCCATAGGTGCCGTCCAGGTGCCGCGCCGGCCGTGGGACCCCGCGCTTTCTGAGCCTGGCAGCGTGAGCTGGCTGGGATGGGGTGCTCAGACCTGCAGAGGTTCAGTCCACGCTCCGTACCCTTGAAACCTCGTGATTCAGCCAGCTATGGGGCCTGGAGCCCCTGCCGGTGAAAACATCCGATTTTCCCCTCTTAGGAAGTTACTCGATCTCTGGCACGATGGGAGGGACGTGGTTTTCCAGTCGCGCGTTGCCACCAGCTCTGGTTTCAGCACTTGTCACTCGTCCACCTTTGCAATAAAGCAGCCTTGATCCTTCGCAACGGAGCCCCTGGGTTTGTCCTCTGTGCTCGTCACTGTTCACCCAGGTGAAGCCGGCTGGGAGGGGGCGTTTTGCTCAGATCCAGGGAGTCGCCACTTCCCAGAGGAGCCAGGCGATGGAAAACCAAACGGTTTGCAGCATTTAGAGGCGGGTGTAGCGCCTGACCTTCGGAGCTGGCGGGTGCGGGATTGACTGGTCCATGGGACGCTGCCAGCCTGGCCGAAAGGAGTTTCCTACCTGGACTGCGGTTCTTTACGCTGGGGGACACGC